ACAAAACTTTTATGACAGGTTCATATGAATAGAATATGTTTACTTTGCAATAAATCGGTTTATAGTTCAAGTTTCATTGACATATTTTTGTACAGAGGGTTTTTGTTTCAGAGACAAATCTATTTCTGGTAATATTTTTTTTTTTAAATGTGTTGCTGGTATTTTTAGTATAAACCTATTTTTACATTTTCATAGTGTTTTGACCCTAATTTTAGGGTTAACTGTTTGCCCATAACTGGGACCCTAACAGGTGCTACCATCCCAAGTCAGGGTGGACCTGGGAACCCCAGCAATTAACAGGTGGTTCCACACCCCGCAAAACTTCCTGATCAGAGGCCTTGTTGCTGGAGGTAGTTTATCATCATACCCAGGACAAAATATAAGATGAAAATGAATTTATACATTTTTTTTGTTGTTATTGTTGAGAATTTACAACAAAAATATTAAACACTTTTTATAAGATTGTTTATTTACAAGAATAATTTTATATTTACAATAATAAAATTAGAAGCAGTACAATGCAATATTCATCATTTTTTTTTTACTAATTCATAAAGAATGTGAAAATAATTTTTTATTAATAAATTTATAAACATTTACTACATTATTAAAATATATGAGCCAACTGTAAGGAAATCCTTATTATTTACTATTTTAAGTTTGAAACAATTGCCAATTAGCCGATGCCAACCATTCTATTAATAAATAAATAAAAATTTATAAAATAGTATTTATTTTTGTTGTCAATTCTCAAGAGTCAAGAACAAAGATTGTATAAATTTGTTTTCTTTTTTTAATTTTTACATTTTTTAAGGGATCAAAAAATCAAATTCAAATATAAGAACATTTTGTTTTGGCTTCCGTCGGGATACAATGATTTTTTACACTACAGCAAACTGACCCCTCCCCTATTGAATTTTCTTCTCTTTGTGATGTGGAATTGTTAATCAATCAATGTCATATTGATTGATTTATTATGGATAAATTTTGAAACACGATTATTTCTAGTCGCAGTACATTGTACAACAACATCCAAAGTACCACAAAAACGAAGAGAGGTCGTAAAGGATAGTCACTACTTTACTGTAAACTAGTATTTCTGAAGGACAGGGAGCTGGCGAGAACACACTGAAAGGCGAAAACATACGATAGAAATAAAAACAGTGAGACGAATGTGGTAATAATATGGTCAGACATTTGTATTTTTTCTTTTTAATAAATAAATAAGAAACTTATTCATTTAAGGATAAAGTCAATGAATCTGGCAGAGAAAAATAGAATCCTAGACGCTGTGAATCAATCTTAAGGAACTTAAGCAAAACCTGGTTCATTTGTTTTACCTACTTACCAGAAAACTTTTCGCAAACATTTGAAGCTGTTCCCGCGTGTTTACATATCTGGCAGCAGTTATCTCCCCTTGATTATCGTTAGAGTGACCTCCCTTATGTCACCAACCTACATGCTTTTTAATAAATTTTTGTGCTAAAATAAACTCACTTGGGTTGATTTTATACGATACATGGCTAAATAATTAGAAAAAGGAAAATAATTGTGTAGTGTCAGTTATTCATGTGTAAAATGTTTATCTTAGTGTACGTCCCAGTTTGATAATGAAGTCGCGATTATTTGAGAAATATCAACAATGATGTAAAATTTGACACGTGTTAAAAAAAACAAAGCTAAAACTTAAACAGAAACTATAACACATAATTATAATAATATATAAAATTATAATGATAAAACATAATACATAAAATAATCATACATAAATCATAAAAATTATTATAATAAACATAAAATTACATAAATTATTATAATAATAAATTAAAATATAAATAAATTATAATTATACAAAAATTATTAATACATAATATATAATTAAATATACATACTATATGAAATATACATAAAACTTAATTTTGTGATCATTTTTCAATTAATCATATGCTGAAAGAATGGAAAAAATATTAAATATAATTTTAGATAAAAAGCAGAACTGAAAATATTTGTGTTTAATTTTAATTACTTTGTGTAAAAAAGTAAACATCAAAAAATATCAATTAGATGAATTTTGGAAGATTTTTAAAAAAATCTTCCAAAATTCGTCTAATTATTGGATATTTTTAATCAAACGTTTGGCATTTATATAAAAGAATTTTTTTTAAAGCTGTCTCTCTTCAACCTTCCAGGTAGAAATTTTTTTTTCTTCGATTAGTCCCCACTTTTTGATTATTTTCAATAGTGTATTATAAAAAAATAAAATAAAATCTGGTCGACTGATCCCTCCTCTTGGTTGATAAGCCCGCTGATATAGGTTGGGTCTGTTATGCGTGTTCATTAGCGCATATATTTTTTTGTATTATTAATGATTCAAGAAAACAACAAAACTCCAAATGTGAATCAACAAGTATATATTGAAATAACATACAAGAACAAAATATACAATAATTTGTATTCAATGTATAGATTAAGGGAAAAGAAGTTGCCTCCCTTTTACCGTATTTTGATTTGTAATTGATTGTTCGAAAGAAAATTTTCTTTAGAGAGAAATGTTCAGGAATCAATGTTAGAACAAGTCTGCTGTTAGAATAGATAACACAAGAATACAATTGATCAGAAAGTGTGTTGTGTTAGAAAAATCAACAGAGTCCTAGTTGATTGAACTTGGCTGAGTCACAGAGAGATATGTATATATGTATTACAAAATACTGTGTCTGTGTGTGCGTTTGAAATGCTGTGAGTAAAGTCATAGGTTTGTGTGGACTGGCAAAATTTACTGGACTCTACTGGCAGCTTGTGAAAAAGTCGCCTTTTTTAAAGTTACTGATAGGCTCCCAGCGAAACCGCAGGAAAAGTTGATTCTGCACTAAAATATGTGAGTGGTTAAAATTTGACCAATCGCTAAATTTGCACTAACGAAACAAGTTAGCAAGTTCAAAACCGAAAAATTCAAAGCAACGACTGCGATGGCTAAATTGTCCTATAGAAAGGCACTATTGATTTATTAGCCAATCGCAAACGAATAAAATGTGGGCGTGGAAAAACATAGCAGTCGCTACAAGTCCATTTATCAGATAATAATGAGTAAGATCCAAATTTAGGCGCCAAATATTTCGTTCACGTGGGTAACATTCATCTCCGAAAGTAGGAGCGACGCCAAACAAGTATTAACAGTTTAACCAACTTTATTCGAATTCACGTGGAACAGTTCCACGAGCAGATACAAACAACAAGGAGCATAATCCTTAATCCTTATTATTATTGTTATCAGTAATTAATTACCGATGCAACACCCCCCCACACACACACACACCTTTGTCCAGATACCATTAATTTTTTATTATGTATTTTCACGGGGTTATTATTATTTAATTTTCACACAAAGTCCTTTAAGTATTTTGGTTGTTGCGTTAACCTTCCTTTTTTAGATCTCCTTGATTCTTGATTTTGAATTTGATCTAGTTTTGTTTCCGCTTTCTCCGAAAGCATTGTTTGCTTTTTCTCCAGTAGTAGTAAATCTTTCCTGTTTCTGACCGTTCGAGCTGTTGTTGTTGGAAGTCGCCGACACGTGTTTCTTTAAGCTGCTGTGTAGCCACGTCTTCTCTTGCGTTTGAACGGCTTGGAGACAGTTGCATCTCTACTCTTGAAACTCGAAATCTGTAGGGTTTTACAAGAAACTTTTCCCGAAAGTAGGCTCGAGAAATAGGGTTTTAGTTTTCTCTGACTGACCAAATATTTCACAGGCGATACTAATTTCTAACCAACAGATACTTTAATTTAAATGGTGTATGTTGTATTGTGGAATCTTTTTGGCATGTTTGTAAATATGATCTGTTATTGGGGATAAAACAAAGTTTGGGCATGTTTTAATATGGTATGCATGTGGGCGTGTAATTGCATTGGAAATAGGGTTTACTTCCTATAATATCGATCTAATAATTTGATATTTTTAAAAGTCTTTATACTTTCAAAAGGTGAACTAATCTGGGATTTTGTTTTTAAAAACTTGATCTCCTTTAATAAATAGATATACAAAGATATTGGGAAAATAGTCTCTCCAACTATTCTTAAAATATTTTTTTAAATATTACATTGTTGATTGAATATTATAATTAACTATGGATGCGCAGAATTGTAATAATTTCTACTTTCCAGTTGATATCATTCTTGCACTTGCCATGTCCTAGCTAAGATTGAACTGATTGTAAGAAAATTCAATTTGTCGGGGATGTTTTGTTTTTTTCTTGTGTTCTGTTGGAATCTTTGTCAAACTTTTTTTTCCTTTTTTTTTTTTTTTTTTTTTTTTTTTTGATAGAGGCGTCGGAGATGCGTCGGCGATTAATCTTTCTGGAAATTGCAACTTAAACATTTCTACCTCGAGTGACTCCCGGGACTTTTACAGGGTGAACATCTTTGTAAAAAATGCCAATGCGCGGTGTAAGAATCAAGTTTTAGATTTTATTAATAGTAATTATAAAACGTTTTATTTTACAGAAGTTGATGATGAGGATTACGCAATTTCAAAATATGGCCTAGGACTTGATTATTTAAATAAGGATTCATTTTTAGATTAAACTAATAGCAGATAGTGGATTAATTTCTCACGCTGCATGCAAACTATTGAAATATTTTGCACTTGTCTTCCATGTAAAATTCTTTTGTCTCATTGCTTACGGCCGTATCACGTTGAAACACCGGTTCACGGACGATCACCGTCGAGGCTGGTTAGTAACTAGGTGGGTGGCCGCTTGAGAATACCTAGTGCTGTAAGCTTGGATGTGTGGGTGGTGTAATTGATAATGATTCCTTTTTTTAAAGATAATATTGGTTTAGTGACACAAGTTTTACTAATTAACCCATAGTTGGGGGGAGAAGAAGTGGATTCATACTTTTCCCAAGGGTATTTGGCGCGTAAGTGAATATAACGAATCCAACGGGAATTGGAACTCGGTTTTCCGAATAACAATTCCGGGTCATTATCCATTACCCGAACATCTAAGCTTACACCACCTGATATTCCCAAGTCGAACCTGGTCACCCATCAAAGTAGTTGGCTCAACGTTGCTTAACTTCAGTGATCGTGCGGAACCTGGTGTTTCAACGGGATGTGACCGTAAGCCATTTATTACTTGAGACTCAAAAAATAGTAAATGTTTTTGAGTTTTTCTTACATTCTTTGTCATCAACATTTCATGGGTCATAGTAGTTCTCTATCATAATGTGAGAATTCTACATCCATGTCAGTCAGTTAACCGTGATACACGCTTGGGTGATCATCTCTCTTTCGATTCGTGACTGATTAGACAGAAGATCATCGAAGTTAAACAACGTCGAGCCTGGTCCCTACATTTGATAGGTGACCAGGCTCAACAGGAACGCCAGGTGCTGTAAGCTTGAGTTTGCGGGTCGTGCCATAGATAATGTTGCTGTCTGTTTCTGCGGTATACTGGTTGTCAACCAAGGCTATAGGACCCAATTTTTTTATTCAACCCAGAACTGGGGGAAGAGATGGATTCATACCTTTCCTAAGGGTATCTGTGCATAAGTGAATCATAACGAACCCGACTAGAATTCGAACTCGGATCTCTGCTTTCTCATTCCTAGCCGATCTCCATTACACCACATCACTCATCCCTGTATATTCATGTATTGAATCAATTTGGAGGGAGAAACTATATTTGATGGACTCATATTCAAAAGTTGATATCTTTGTATTCTTTTATACATAGTGATTGTCACATCTTACACAGATGAGAGCCACCTCATCACAACTCGCATCATTTGTGATGGCTTCCGTCTCATTTCGCAGTTCATGGCTTCTAAGATGACTTTTGAGACCAGCATTCGATTTCATAGGAATCAGGCGTATATGACAGATAGACTCCGTATCCTTGACTGAGTTGATTGGATCTGCATGGCCTACAAATCTCCTGTCTACAACCATGTGCCTCCTCAGTCCAGATAATGATCTACAAATGTTCTTGCAAAAAACACTGGTATTATAAGCAGGGCGATGAGGCAGGTTGATATAGTTGCCTTGCTTCTTGTTGTTTTGATGACCTTTCAGGTGGTTTATATAGCATCCCCTTGACAATAGCATTTGCTCACACACACCACATTTCCGAGACTGCATATTAGCGAGCAAATCAGTGCAAATACATTTTCGGAGATCACACTGAGACATTCATCATCAAAGGCATTACGTCCCTCCCTTATAAAGTGCCTCCATTCTGTAAAATTTAAAGTCAGTTCTCCCCCCACTAATCCTGCACATCCGTATACAAAACATTCGGATTATCCTTCAAATTATCTTTAAACCACTTCCTAGGCTTGTGTTGTGGATGCTTTCCTGTTTTCAGTTCCCTGTTGAAAAGTTGCTTGGAAGATCCTGTTATCCTTCATTCTCACAACGTGTTTTGCCCATTGCATCTGGTTGAGGATTATTATTGTTTCAATGCTGTTACATTCAGATCTTTGTAGAACAAAAGTGTCTGGAATAAAAGGCTGCCATTTGATGTTAATGATGCGCTGCAGGCATTCATGCGTCTAAAATCCAGTCCAGATGATGATCAGTGACGGGACAATGAGGGTGTTTGGCATAGTTGGCTTGCATCTGATTGGCTTCATTCTGGATGATCTTTCAGATGGTTTACATGACCTGTCCTCGACAACAGCTTGCGTTCGCACACATCTTATTTTTCAAGTTGGCAGATCAGAGTGAGTGCCTCTTCGGAGACCATGCCTGAGACACACACCCTCAAAACTGTTTCATTACCCGCTAATAAAATGATTCCACTCTCTACGATTTAAATGCCAGTTCTTCCCATTGCTGCACATGCATGTGCAATGCATTCAGATTATCCTTCAGATTATCTTTAAACCTGTTATGATAATTTACTCACACACGCATGGACTCTTCCAGCTATAAATAGGAGCAGGTACTGCCTTTTTGAGAGGAAAGTTCCTAGCAATCAGCTCTGAGAGTCGGACCGAACATTTTTGGTGTAACACTCTCGTTTTTATGTTTGTATTACTGTTTCTGTTAATATATTTGTTTAACTCAATTCCTCTCTTTCTGTCTTTATTTCTGGACCCTAACAAGGCCACAACAAAACCTCTTTTTAAGCTTGTAGTGTGAACGCTTCCCTGTCTTCAGTTTCCGCGTAGAAAAGTTGTTTGTTTTCTGTTATCCCCCATTCTGACAACGTGTCCTGCTCATCACATCTGGTTGACGATAATCTTTGTTCCAATGCTGTTACAGCTAGATATTTAGAGGACAACTATGTCTGGAATCAAAGATTGCCATTTCACATTAAGACTCTACTCCTTGTTTCACACCGACCTGTTCAGCCGCTATAACCCATAGGAATCACTTTTTCTGGCTATACCAGCATGACAGTTCCTCTTGTAGAGGGCCGTGGTTGTGATGTTGTGAAGTCAGACGTAGAAGGAACGCATGTAAGGTTCAGATTCTCCTGCTGGCCGGGCCCAACTACATAAAAAGGTTGGACTTTGATTGAGTCCAAAGAAGAAGGCAAAGAAAGCAAACAAAACACAAGACCGATAATATATGTATATACAAATATATATTAATAACAAGTTACAATACATGGAAACAGTACAAAAGGTGAAGTGTATGCGAATATTCTGTATGTGCGTGCGTGTGTGAATATTCTGTATGTGTGTGCGTGTGTGAATATTGTGCTTAGCGTGTTTCCACGCTATCCCTTGTTAACGCCTACATTTCGAGGTTGATAGCTGAAAGCCTGAGGAAAAGGAGAGATTTTCCTCAAGGTGTCGGCGCGCAGACCTGACGGAAAAAGAGATAGAGGTGAAGGGTCAGCGGCTATTTATAGCCAGGGAAGAGAGACCCCTGGTGAAAGGGTTAACGAACTGAAGGAGGAGTTAACTCCGACAATACCCTTCACCAGATTAAAAGTTCTAAGGAAATGAAAACTTTTAATATGTTAGAAAAAAGGTTCATGAAAGTTTGAATATTGTTCTTGTGAGCTGAAAAGAAAATGTGTCAGAAGTGTGTTTGAGATGCGTGATTCGACGAAATGTGCTTGTGTTGTCAGGATGCAGTGTATTTCTCAGTGAGTTAGAATTGGGGTACGTCCTGTAAAAACGTCTGTAGTGGTCTGCGCTGCTATTAAAATTTGTTATTTTTTTCCATGTTCCACGTTGAATTTGCTGTGTCGATCTATTCACCTGTTTGCTGGCTTGTTTGTAGTTTGTTTGAAAAGCGAGGTGGTTCGTGTGGGTATAATTGGCGCACAAAAGTTAATAGACGCAGCGTAGTCGTGAAGTTGAGCTGAATTTCTACCGAGTGTCGAATGTAGGTTGGGAGAATTTGGTATTATTGACGATAGAATATCGTTCTGGCAAATTCTCGGTTTGTTTGAGTCGCGTCATTGCAGAATGAGATGAAGGACGGTGAATTGCCTTTTAAGACTGCATTGGACATCTGAAATATGTGCAGTATTTAGCACAATGTGAGCGGATGTGTAGTCAGTTGAAGTCGTGTTGAATAGAATGTCCACGTGTGTATGAGAAGTTTGAGAAGCAAGCAGTGGCGTGAAGATATCGCCACGTGGTGTCAGTTGAGTGTTGCTTCCATGTCGGAATCACGAATGTTGTTTAAAAATGAGACAGTGAGTCGTCTTCAGTGGTTCGGAATCACCAATGTTGCTTGAAAATAAGACAGTGAGTCGTCTTTCAGTGGTTTGGTTCACACTTTTTCTATTTCAGTCCAGAAGAAACAGTGGCTAGTAGAAAAATTGCGTTGTTTTTCGTTTGGTACAGCCTTAAGCATGTCTGCTGGGCGAAATTAGGTCAAACGTCGCCGAGAGAAAGAAAGGGTCAAGCAAATATAGACCAGTGGGGGAAGAGTTCTCAGGTTCGTCTTGAATAGTAGTAATTGTTGTTCTAGTGTACGGCGTGCGTAGGATTCGAAAAGAAGTTTTTTCAATGTTTACCCTATCTGGCTCTCTTTTTGTGAAGGTGTGTGTATAAGAAATTGTTTGTACATATATATCGTCTTGTGTGTTTTTAGCAGGAGTTGAAAAATCAAGTCGGCAAGGTCACCACTTGTGGAGGGACGTGGCTGTGATGTTGTGAAGTCAGACGTAGAAGAAACGCATGTAAGGTTCAGATACTCCTGCTCGCCGGGCCCAACTACATAAAAAGGTTGGACTTTGATTAAGTCCAAAGAAGAAGGCAAAGAAAGCAAACAAAACACAAGACCGATAATATATGTATATACAAATATATATTAATAACAAGTTACAATACATGGAAACAGTACAAAAGGTGAAGTGTATGCGAATATTATGTATGTGCGTGCGTGTGTGAATATTCTGTATGTGTGTGCGTGTGTATTGTGCTTAGCGTGTTTCCACACTATCCCTTGTTAGCGCCTACATTTCGAGGTTGATAGCTGAAAGCCTGAGGAAAAGGAGAGATTTACCTCAAGGTGTCGGCGCGCAGGCCTGACGGAAAAAGAGATAGAGGTGAAGGGTCAGCGGCTATTTATAGCCAGGGAAGAGAGACCCCTGGTGAAAGGGTTAACGAACTGAAGGAGGAGTTAACTCCAACACTCTCACAACAGACGCCTATTTGTGTCTGCTTGTAATAATTGTAAATGCGTCCTTCAAAGAAACTAAGTCTTTGTTTGCTGATAGAATGAGACACCGCATAGCCTCTAATAATTGAGTGGTCATCACGATCACCAGATCTAATATCCCAAAACTTTTTTTTTCGGGTGTACTGAAAGATCTTGTTTACAGGCTCAAACAGAAAACAATTCCTGACCTGAAACAAGCAATTTCTGAAAAAAAAATTCTGAAATTAATGTAGAAATGTGTCAAATGGTTTGTAGAAGTGTTGCTGATAGGGTTCAGCGTTGTATTGAACATGAAGGGAAACATTTTGAAAATGTTACATTTTTAACCATACCAAAATATTTTGTTGATAACAATATCAATAATGTATCTGTCTATATTTCTAAGATGAGGTATTATGTACACTATTTACATTATTACATATGAAACTGAACCCTTTATTTCGCTCGCTGGGGTAGACTGTTCTAGTTCCACGTGCCATGTCTAATGGATAT